TTGCCTTTGGCTCAGTCGGCTTACAATGAAGATTTGTAGTTAGTTTTATTTTGAATTCGAAATGGCAACAAAATCGACTTCATAATTTATTTTCAATACATAAAGTAAACAACTTTTGTTTACAAGTACTTCATTAAAAAGGAACTCACAGCAGAGGATGACATCCTTGAACAATAAAGCAACATTTGAGTATAAATTCGAAATATATTGACACTTTTAATAATTTATAGACTATCGATGTTTGTCAGATAAAAGTTCATTTAAGTTTAGTACATTTAAATAAAAAAAAGTTATCACCATAAGAAAAATGAAATACCTAATCCAAAGTAAAATCAAGCTGTCATATAGTTGATAATAGTTTTAGCAAAAATAAAAATTTGCTTAATAAATGTGCAGTTAGTGTATCTTAACTGTTCATGGGCAAAACTAAGAATTTTCACATTGACACACCAGTAATTAATTAATATTTATTTCTAATATTCTCATTTATGAAAGTTTTTATTTAAGTACAGATGCAAGCTTTTTCAAAGAATCCACAAGGTAGCACAAGACCTATTGCGCCAGCGAGAACGTGGGAGAGGAACGGTCGAAAGTAAGCTAGTTGAAGCATGATATACATGGAGCGCCATATATAGAGAAGCACTAAATAGAGTCAGACTTATAAGAATTATTGAAGTCCTATGCCTTATTGGGGGAAATGGAAAATAGAAGTAGTAATATGTATAGAAAAATCTTTTCAATCCCTATTTTATCGTAAAAGGATTGACATCTAATGGTTTTTTTCGTGACTAGAATTTACAGAAGGCGGTTAAAAACAAATTATAATATATCAATATATTGTGAGAATATAATGGAATGTAATGACTCTAAACTGTGACGTGGTAAGATCTATTACGCTATCCCTGTATAAGAACTGCTAAGTTGACTCCTACCATTTATAAATGCTATGGATAATGCAAATAATATTTCTTAGTTGAAAATGCCAGACTTCACTCAACTCAGTAGTAATGTGCAAAGATCTGTCCTGCAGAGAAAACTTCGAAGCCTCTAAATTGAAACTGTGAAAAGTAGTATGTGTCAATATCTTTTAATCCAAACTTTTAAAGGTAGTATGTTCGGTTAAGAATCATTGTTTAAACTGTGTTTAGATTAACTTATATACAGAAACCTTTCAACAAATTTTTTATTGATTCAAATATGGATGAACTCATATATCTGCATTGGGCTTAATCTTTTAAAAAGTTCTGATCTTCTTACATACCTGTAGAGACCACTGCACAATTTCCTTATTGACTGAAATGAGCTGCTTCGATCATCTTATATCTGTAGAATTAGCTTAAGCCTTCTCAAACGTTGATATACAATATTCCTAAGTACTGGTACTATATTACGAGTAAATTTTCCTCAGAAAAGTTCGGCTTACTTTAAAGAAGTTGTTTTTACCTTCTCTACAAGCTATTAATAGGGATGGGTACTGACGAATCTGCCATTACTGAGTATTTTTAGTTCGTACTAATCAACTCATGTACGAGCTTTTTATAGTTTTAAGTATCGTATAATAATTTTTGGAATACATAAAATATATATTTTATATATATTATATATATATATAAATATATATATTGTCCTCTTATATTTAAAAATATAAGAAGATAATTTATATTATTAGTAACCTTGAGTTAAAGTATCTAATTAACGTAGGCTACCTTCAGCTGACCTAAACTTTAGTAGTTTCCATTAGTTGGTAGGATATTTGATATAGAAACGCTTAAGAATAACACTTTAAAGCCAACTTATTAA